AAAACAGAGTGCTGGAGAAACACAGTGAGTCTGGCAGCATCTAGGGAGAGAAAACAGAGTTAAGGTTTCAAGTCCAGTGACCCTTCGTCAGAACACCATAATACACAACATCTTAAATTCACATTTTTAATCAGAAGACATGAAGAAACCCTCATTCACCCATGTTGATTTGTTTCTATTATGACTTGTTTCATCTACTTAAGAAGAAAGACACTAGTTAACAATTATTAAGCTTGGAAACAATGAAATCAGACATTGAAATTCACAAACCAGCTGTACTTAAGAGCAAAGCTTTTGACAGAGCAGGGAAGATGAATTTTTGACTGCAAAACTGGAGAAAACTCTCTAGCTTTGCCTCTCAAAGGATAAACTATACAGCAACAATACTAATTAGAGTGACATATCCAAGACAGTGAGAACATAAATAGATTTGCAATATTCACTACTGCAGAGTACACAAGTCATCAATTAAACTGTGATCTCAGGTTACAACCTTTACCTTTAAACTCTGTATTCTTTCATCTTCCATTTGAATTAGACATTATCACTTTTCAAATTTTGCACCTATGTGCATATATGTTTGGCACTGTGTCTTTATTAATTTATTCAGGGTTATTAGAAAATAAAAATGTTCTCGCTCATTCGAGAAAATCTTGTAAGAGGCTCCTTACTCAAAATACCATTGGATAGCTACATTTCTAACAGAGAGAGAGAGAGATAGTGCTTTGTACTTCACGCCCAATCAAGGAGGATGAAGGGAGGGAAGCTAATTAACCCCTCCTCACCTGGTCAGAACACTAATTTCCATTTCAGATAGAAAATCAATTACTACATTTAGCTCATCAATCCACAATATTCCCTGGCGCACTTCTAACCAGTGGACCACAGAATTATTACAGCACACATGGAAACCACTATTATTGTCTGAACTGGCTCTTCAAATAACCAATTTACCTAATGCCTTTCTGTCTTATCTATTACCTGAATCTCATTTGTTGATAGGTTTTGCTTAATTCCTTCTCAAACCCCTAGCATTCTAGATATAACATTACAACATGGATTGCAATGGTTTAAGATTGCACAAACCACCTTCTCATAGGAAATCACAGATGTGCAAAAGGTATCGATCTTAGCAATTACACTCAAACCATGAAGGAGAAAAAGGCATCTGGTTCCATCATTCATGCTAGTAATCTGCTCCACATTCTTACCAGTGGGAAAAAAATCAATTTTTATTTCTGCTTTACATCGCTTCCCTTAATTTAGGGATATTACCATGGTTGCTTACATTCCACAGAAAAATTGACTTAAACCCAACCTGTCCATACACTTTGTAATTTTAACAAGTATTATGTTCCTTCTCAATCTTTGTGTGGCAAATAGACCTAGGGTAGCACCCCTGTTTCGTCCTTTTGTGCCAAGATCAAACAGAACACTGAACCACAACTGTAGTCTCACAAGAATCAACTACAGTCTTAAAATGCCTTCCATGGATTCAAGGACAGGTGTAAACTCGCAGCTGAATCAAAAAGTTCCAGGATTAATCCCAAAGCAGACACCTGTACACATGATCCAACCACTTTTAAATCAGATGTTGTCACAGCCAGTCTGTCCTTTCAGATGTACATAAAAGATCAATATACTATGCTGGAGAATAGTTCAACTCACTGCATTAAAACTGGTTACTTAGTCATTGTTACAATGCTGTTTGTGAGATGTTGCTGGGTGCAGCTTGGTTTCAACACTTCCTGCAATAGTTCACTTCAAAATTTTTAATTATCCATCAAGCGGTTTTGAACAAAGAATTCGTGAAAGGCGTGATTTAATTGCAAGTTATTTTTTCCTTCTTACTTTGTTATACACCCAATGTGCTTGCTTTTTTAAACAGCCTTGGATTGTAATGTTGATGATTTTCATGATCTTTCCACTAAAATGCTAAATTATGTGTTTCCTGTTCTGATATCTCAGGTCTAATTGTTGAACCCAGCTGCAGACGGCCAAAAAGGCCATGAATACTTCAGAGGAACACACTAACTTGGCCCTCAGCAGGAGATGCCTTACGATGCAAGGAATACCCAAATGATGTTTAAAATCATATTTTTAAATAATTGGACTTCGACTGCACATATTAAAAGAAGCCACTCATATCTAACATTGACAGTTCCATAGGGTCTCGTGTGCATTTCACATTTATAATATATTTTTCATATGGACTAAGTAGGTTGTAATGGTAAACAATTAAAAAGCCTAAAAGATCACTTATCTGGTGAACATCGGTGGGAAGACGCAATTTAGTTTTAGACATAACAAATCTCATTTGTATGATTAGTATCTGCTTCATAGGCTTAACAATGGTGATAATATCTACACACAATAATAATACAGCACTGTTAATATAAATCAAACAAATCATGTTCAGCAACACCCACAGTCCAAGCTGCAAGATCTGTCAGTCAATACCTCAATGTAAATACTATTTCACACCAACACAAACATTAGTGCAGTCAGAAGTACAACTCAGATGCCAGGTATTGTCATTGTGAATGCCGCATTGGAATCTTTAATTGCATTATCTGCATTCCCCTACTTTAACCTTATAACCCAATACTGCTGCAGCTAATCGTTTTTAAGCTCTATTGTGGTGTAATGATGTAATCCACGATGATACAAATCAAATCCATATTAAATCAGATGGTTCAACCTTCTAAAAATCAAAGTGCAGAAAAATGTTTATGTAACAAGTTGAAGACTCAATATGTCACATAGAAACAAGATTTAATGTGTCATGTCAAAATAACATCACTGGTAGCATGTACAGATACTTGAACATGTTTGGCTGGGTCCTCAACATACCCCACTGTCATGACGGAGGTAGAATCATCAAATCCCTACAGTGTGAAAATAGGCCCTTCGGCCCAACAAGTCCACACAGACCCTCAGAGCATCCCACCCAGACCCATCCCCCTATAAACCACCTAAGCTAGACATCCCTGAACACGACAGCCAATTTAGCATGGACAATCCATCTAACCAGCACATCTTTGGACTGCGGGAGGAAACCAGAGAACCAGGAGGAAATCCACGCACGGGAGAACATGCAAACTCCACACAGACAGTCGCCCAAGGGTGGAATCGAACCCAGGTCCCTGGCACTGTGAGGCAGCAGTGAGAACCACTGTGCCACCCAACATTTTTATCTTTTTTTTCCAACATGTTGGAGGCAGGTCACCAGGAACACATTGTGAGTTCAATCTTGATAAATAAGTCTTTCATGGATTAATAACTTATATTTTACTGAACAGATGTTTGAACAAAATTTGGACTGTCATGTCAAAGTAACTCATGTAGCCTTTACAAGTCTTAAACAGTAAGGTAACGTTATATGCGGATTTCAATTCATGAACAGTTATGGCAACCTTGAGCACATATGGTTAATGAGTTTAACTATACAATTATGTCGGTATTGCTTCAGTATACATATAATTCATTGGTATGTCAAACAGATAAAAGAAATGTGATTTGACCTGGACCCCTGTCACTACTTAAAACAAACTAGCAAACATACCTTTTGGGTGCAAAGGCGGAGCCAATGATATTCTATTTCTTTGCTACGTACAGAGGAATTCTTGCCATAAAGTGATCAATACGATTTCCAGTTCAAAAACAAGAACATGTACGAATGAATACAACAGAGTCAAAAACAATGCATGTCTTCACCACTGGAAACAAAATACCTTTCTTGAAATATGAAAGTCTTTATTTTCATTAAAAGAAATGCTTCCACTCTTGATGAGGCTCAAATTATTCCCTTGCTCTTCCCTTATTGTCAATTTGCAAATTTTTCCCTCTGACAAAATTTGACATTGGTGTAACAGGATTGCTGCCTCTGGCTGAACACAATCATACAATCTAATCATATAATCAGAGACACAATAACATGCCTTCTTATATATCTCATTTTTTGTAAAGCGCTTGGAACAGTTAAGTTGAAAGCACTTCTCCACTTTGTCCTAACTGTAAAAAGGATTGTTCTAGCTACACTGTTCATCCTGTACTGGTCTGCACTCTTGTTCCTCAAAATTAAAAAAAAACATGGAAGAGGTTTAGGCATCTCCAGGCTTTTGAAATGAAGATTTAGAAAGTAATAAACATTATCAAAAAGTACCTATTTTTACTATTTTGTGAATGTTACATTTACTAGGTGCATTTAGTAATCTGAAATTGCACAAAAACAGATGCTAATTTATGAGATGACTTGTGGTAATAGTTTAGTCAACGTACAGTAACTACAATGTTTGTGTTATTCAAACTTGCATCATTTCACTAAACACAAGATGTTCAACCACACACAACTTTAAAATCTCACCTATTAAAATAGACGAGTGTTTTGAGAATATTGCTTATGCAGGAAAACGCACAATGCTTCAAGGCAAATTTCACAATAATGAATGCATAAGTTACATACTAAGTATATGTTCATTTCCTTTAGACATAGCAATGTGCAAATTGCTCAGAATGGGTAAAGGTGGGTTCAATTTTTACAAGATTCCAGTAACATCAGCATAGTGGAAAAACTCATCTACATCCAGATCGCGAAACTTGACCAAACATTTTCATACTATCGTTATGGAAAATGGCTACATTTAAACAAGGCTGACCATCGCTATAAGCCATTACTGCAAATAGGCCAGCTATTTTCGCCTACAAGACACTCTGGTTATGAAAAAATAACATTAGCTGCCTCATATTCTGGGTTACGCATCCAGAACTGAAAACAACGTCGGCAAAATTCATTCCCATTACAAACAACTCTTACTAAATTAAGAATAAATAAATAAATAAGCACAAGTGACAGGTTAACAACAATGCACCCCACTACACATATCCGAATCACTCGGAGAAACGGGACGGACACAGTCTATTACATTCCCGTGTTGGGGGTGGAAGGAAGAGGTAGAATGTTTAAAAAAATGTAAACTATTTCCATTTTTAGCGAATGTGAACTTTTATTTTAACCCACCCCTCCTCCCTCTACTCTCAATCCCCCCTCACGAACTAACCCCGAGTCCCCTTCAGCTGTAAGACTTACCGAGCAGCAGTAACTTGAGTTCTCGCCGTGCATCCCGCTTGTCTCTCCGGAGCTGCCTCTCGATCTCCGCGTTGATCCTTTTGGCTTCTTTCGCCTCTTCGCTCAGGCAGCACGCCATGATGGAGTCGAGAGTCATGTAGCCGACTGGTGTGTGTGTCTTTCTCTGCGACCCGTGTGTGTGCTTGGAGGTGGCGGGAGGAAGGAGTGGAGTGGAGTGGATTGGGAGTGAGTGGGTGGGAAGGAAGGGGGGGGGGGGTGTTCTCCTCTCAATATTCTACAGTCTGACTAAACATGGAGAATTCACTGGGAGTTTCAAAAAAAAAGAGCTGTCGGGGGTGGAACGGTGAAGAAAGACGATGAATTTCTGTTTCCTCTCCAAAAAGAAAGCACAAGCCGAGAGAGGGAAGGTCTGACGCTGATTCTCTTGCAATCCAAAGCTGGCCAGGGGAGGGTCTCCGATCTCCCTTGATGTTGTCCTCGCGCTCTGGGAAGGGATGCAACAATATCCTGCGGCAACCCCTTTCACTCCTCTGTTTAGTTTTCTCTCCCTCTCGCAGCAGGCGCAGACATAAAAATCGCCCGATTGCCGGGACGTTAATCGCGAGCACTCTCCTCCCTCAAATGTTCGCAGCTAGTTTCCGAAAACGAGCAGAAGAACAGAGACGGAGAAGTGTTGTTGCTGCTACCGCTTTTCGCTAGATCCACGGGCGTGGTAAACTGGAGCGAAAATGGCGGATGCCACCTCCCTCTGCCTGGGAACTGGGAATACAGCTGCAAAATCACATGCACTGCACACACCTTGGGAACACTTTTTTTATTTTTAAAAAAAGCACAGTAAAATGGAAAATGAAAATATGTGTTGGACAACGCGCCCTCTTTTTTTTAAATTCTCCTCCGCAATATTCTGTTTCACATAGAATTTTGTATACACACTTTATCATTTTTATATTAGAATAAAGCTTCTTCGGCCCTGATTTTATTTGAAACGATGGTGTCTCAATGCATTAAATGAATAGAGAAAGGGCGGATTTTATGACTAAAATAGAGTTTAAGTGAATTCTGCTGGAGGGGCATAGAAAATTGTAATACAAGTAGCAAATCTCCAGCCATCATTCTTTTCTTCCACCCACCTCCCAGCCGAGGTGTATTACCAGGACATCATTTGATGTTACAGTAGTTGAGAGCCGAGTAATATAGTCTGTGTAACGATGTGATGTTCATTTCAGACAGGGCGGACGGTTTCCAATGGCCTTGTTCCGTATTCCAGTGACCAGAACATCCGCGGATCAACAAGAGGGCACTCCTTGTCCAAATTCAAACCTATCCCGAAACACTCAGATCAACTTCACTCAAAATGACAAAATGTTCATAAATGAACCCGCGCTTTCATATGTTTGAATATCCCATATTGATATTGAATCATTAAGACCATTGTATAATTTCATCTACAAGATTCAATGACACAAACGCATTTTTACACAAAAGTAATAAATACTGTTGCTGTGTTCCTTTCGTCATTTTTATGCTTTGGGGAAGACGCTATAATATTGAAAGGCTACAGTTACTATAACCTCTAACTTTAACATTGAGATTACGTTAACAAAACTCAAGTTATTCACTGTAAGTAGCCATGGTATATTTTTATGTTGAAGTTTTGGTATTTATGCAGCAGAGCACGATCTTATTGCGAGGTCGGGGACGAACTTCGTGCTTGTCCTGCAAGATGCCAAGTGCCGCTTATATAACTAACCTGTTTTAATCTACACAATTTCACAAGATCCCCGATCACGTCAGACTTAGTGTTCACAGAATGTGTCGTGAATAGACACTTTCTAGACCAATAGATCTATATCTTCGAAACTAGTGACATGCAGTCATGTTAATATAAGTACTACGGAAAAATTAATCCGTTTTGCGAGTTGTGCAGTAATTTTTTCAGATTATCTTGTAACACCCATATTTGACGACAATTTAATGTGACGAGTTGATTGACACACATGTTTTATACTTGTATTGTTTTTTGATTGCAGTTTCCTTGGGCTTGACTCTTCGTTCGAAACCATTGTAATTACACAATTACATGACGTTATTGGCAAGCCGGTCTCCTGAATGCTCATGGTAATCCATCCACAGTTCAATAGTTACGCTTAAACACGCACAGCAATTGTAACGAATGTCCATATATGCAATCACATAATTTCACCAAGTGATAAAATCCATCATTGTTGAATACAATGATAACCTATTGATCCGTGTGATAAGCACCGTGCATCTTTTTTCATTCCTACCTGGGACATGGGCGTCAGGTGGCTGGGCGAATATTGGCGTTGAACTGAGTGGCTTGCTCGGCAATTTCAGAGAGCAGTTAAGAATCAATTACTTGCTAATGGGTCTGGAGTCACATGTAGGCCAAACGAGGACAGGAGATTTCCTTCCTTAAAGAGTATTAGTGAACCAGATGAGCGACAATGTGACCATTAGACTAGCTTTTTTTTTAAATTCCAGGTTTCATTGAATTCAAAGTTCATATCATGGTCACATCTGAACCCACATCCCTGAAATTTTACCTTCAGACTCTGGATTCCTAGTCCAGTGACGTTACTGTTATATTTCCATCTCCTCTTAAACCCAAACTGAAATCATGTGATGTATCAATCTACCAGATCGTTATATAACTGACTTCTGTGGATTGTTACTTATTCCCTCCCATCCCCCTTCACTTCGTAACTTACCTGTTTTTCCTTGTGTGTGAATTTTTTGTATTCACGTGCTTGAGAGAGTCAATGTTTTTTTATGGAGTTTGTCTAGGTGGGAGTAGGAGCTATAAGGTAGATAAGCTAACTGACCATTGTAGAAAGAATATATTAGCAGTAAGGGGCAGTATAGTTAGGAAATTGATACTACTGTTTGCAACAAGAACAGGCTGCGCTACCTGATTCATCGAGTGGTGTGGGAGAAATACTAGTGAAGGAAGCATCGGTAGCAATGGGATAGTTCCCCCTGTACCATACTGGGGCTGGCTTTGTTCATAACTACAGAATTAGAGAGGATTTTAAATAAAACAATGGAGGCAAGGGATCAAATTTGAGAAGATGTGGTAAACAAAACAGTAGAATTGAGGTCAAAAAGAAAGTTTATTCATAGACAAAATGATAAACACTCCATAATAGGACAAGTTAATGAGTACAAGTCTAAGAGTCAACCAAGAAATAAGGCTAGAATTTACAAAGAGAGTAAAAAGATAAAGCTAAAGGTTTTGTTTCTGAAGGAATATAGCATTGAATCCAAACAGAATACTGGAGAACGTAAAAAGAAGTGAGTAAGTACAATCTGGTAGCCATTTTAGAGACATGGCTGCAGGTGACATACATTGCTATATGAATCTTGAAAAGGTGGAGGATGGTTCTGTTAATTAATGATGGTATTTTCACAATGGAGAAGGATGACCTAAATTCAGGAAACCAAGATGTGGGAACAGATTGGGTAGAAATGAAAAATAATAAAAGCAAGAAGTCACTTGTGGACATGATGAAGGGCATAGTGGCACAGCAGCTCACACTGCTGCCTCACAACACCAGGGACTGGGTTAGATTCCGGCTGTGGGTGACTATCTGTGTGGAGTTTGCACTTTCTTGCTGCGTCTGCGTGGGTTTCTGTCACACGATGCAGTTTCGTCCTACTGTCTAAAGATGTGTAGGTTAGGTGGATTTGCCATGCTAAATTGCCCATAGTGTCCAGGGATATGCAGGCTAGGTGGATTAGCCATTGGAAATGCAGGGTTACAGGGATAGGGTGGGGGGAGGGTTGGTGCTGGGTCTGGGTCTGGATCTGGATGAGATGTTGTTCAGAGGGTTGGTACAGGCTTAATGGGCCAAATGGCCTCTTTCCACACGTTGGAGATTCTATGGTGTACATGGCCTGTAAAAGTAACCACATGATAAAATGGAGCATTAACATCTCATGGGAGATCTTAATCTGCATTTAGACTGGAAAGGTCAGATGAGAAAAGATAACTGAGATGAGAAGTTCACAGATTTCAGGATAATTTCTCAGAACGGCATGTTTTGGAGTTGACTAAAGACATGCATGCTATGAGATAAGATTAACTGATGATTAATTAAATGAAGGTTCCCATAAATGGCAGCAACCATAATATGATTGAATGTCACATTCAGTATGAGAGAGAAAAGAGTGTCTGAGACTACTTGTAAAATTCAAAGAAGGGGAAATTATGAAATCAGAGCTGGCTAAAATGAATTGATAAATTAGGTTAAACAATTCATCAACAGAGCATTGGCAAACGTTTCATGAGATATTTCAGAAGACACAATAGATATATCCAATGAGTAAGAAAAACTCCAAGGGACAGACCCACTATCAATAGTTAACTTGAAATGTCAAAGATCACATCAATCTAAAAGAAAAACAATATCACTGTACAAAGACAGATAGCAATTTATTTTCTCTCAGAGGATTGTGAGTCTTTGGAATTCTCTTCCTAAAATGGTGACAGAAGCGAAGTCCTTGAATATTTTTAAGACAGAGGTAGAGTGAGTCCTGTTAAGCAAAAGTGTAATAAGTTATCAGAGATAGATGAGAATGCAGATTTTAGATTACAATCAGAATAACCATGATCTTATTGAATGGCAGAGCAGACTCAAGGAGCTGAATTGTGTACTCCTGTTTTTCACTTTTTTTAATCAAATCAAGTATTATGTAAAACAAATATTACTTTCTAAAAAACAAAATATCTGTCTGTTTGTGTATTTTGTAGGTCACAGCACTGAAACAGGAAAGAGCCATAAACCCAATAGAATTTTTTAAAATGAATCAAATGCAATGAGCATCAACATCTGTGAATAATGCAAATCAACAACAGGCTGAAACAGCTAAACAACAACCCATTGCAGTCAAACAGAGATGGAAAGAGAGAGGACATGTTTCCCACATCCTACATAGCCATAATATATTGTCTCCCATCTTTGCCACATACTCTGTGGTGGATTGAATTGTTTCAATTCTATATATAAATCAAGAGTAAATGTTTGCAGTCACTTTTCCACTTTAACCATCATCTGCTGATGGTTGCTTGGCACAGCCTGTAATCAATGTAATTATCTTTCATTCTTTACAAAGTAGAGGCCATTAAACTCATATCAGTTGTACTGTGATCTGAGCATACGTTTCAATGATATTCTTGTTTTGTCCTGCTACAATGAGCTCTTTAACATTCAGGGACTGTATATTAACCACTTCACTCTCTTTAGCACCTCTCTCCAAACACCCTGAGATGAATATATGTCAACTGTTGATTTACAGGTTAGAGTATAGGACAGTGTTTTGTTCATTCATGGGATGTAACTGAGATTAATGAAATTGAAATTACTTTATATTGGGGTCCAAAGATGATGCTGTCAGTGTTTGCAATGCTTAGCTTGATGAGCTTGCTGTTAATTTAATACTGAATATTGAACTAGCAATCTGACAACATGGGGTAGTGGATGAGTCAACAGAAGTGAAGAAAAGGGTGTTTTTGGCTATTATGTTGGTAGATGATGTCACAACAGATGTTTGTGGGATCTTGCTATCCACATATTAGCTGCTATGCTTCCTACACTACATCAGTGACTATACTCCAAAAAAGTACTTAATTGGCTGCAAACACTTTGGACTGTACTAAGGTTGTGTAGGTGCTATGATTGAGCAGATTTTTCATTCTTTCAGAGATATTATGACCAGGTGAGCCTGCATCAGGCATGGCATCTGTGTCAAATGAAACTGAATACAACTACATTGAGGATTTTGGATTCACCAGGTAGGGTGTTTCCTCATATGCCTTTTTCTCTGCAGCCCTCATTTCCCCATCTCCACATCTGGGTATGTTTATCAGGATTTTGATAGTTTGCAAAAAATATTATTAGGCTCAACCCCCCCTGCCCACTTTTTATAATAATTCACAGTACCAATTATTTCATGGAGCATCAGAGGAGCAGGAAAGTTGACGTTTCGGGTAGGGACCCTTCTCCAGACATGGGGAGGAGGAAGAGAGCTGGGAAATAAATAGAGGGAGGAGGGGTGGGGCTGGGGAAGCTAGGTGGGATGGTGATAGGTGGATGCAAGTAGGGAGTGCTGGGGATTAGTCAAAGGGTCAGTAAGATCAGTGATAACAGGAAGACAAAGAAGGACAATATATACTGAACACAACAAATGCTGAACATCACAGTGGGTCAGACAGCATCCATGGGGCAAGAGCAAGCTAATGGTTCATGTCTAGGTGACTCTTCATCAGAGCTAAAGTGAAGTGTGGAGGGGCCACCCTTTATAGTTGTGGAGGATTTGGGGATGGTGGGGTGTAGAGTGCTGGGGAAGAGAATATGTGTTGATCTCTAACACACAAAAACAATTTAGCTTCAATACACAGAGCACCTAAAAATACTGGATGAGTAGAGTTAGGGTTAGATGTGTTCATGACTATTTTATTCATTTGTTAAGTTAAGGGCAATAGCATTTTCACACAAAAACAATTTAGCATTGATATACAGAACACAAAAGAATGCCAGATGGGATTAGATGTGCACATGACTATTTTATTCCTTTGTTAAGGACAACAGCATTTTCAGTTGTATACACTGGGACACAAAGTACATGTACAACCAGATTTTGATAAATTTGTACAAAGTTTTTGAACCCACTGTTAGAGAATACTGCAACTTTAGACACCCTATCATAGAAATAAAAACAAAGCTATAAAATATTTTAAAAAAAGAAGAGATGGTATTAAGATTGAAAAACTACAATTAAGGGAGAAACCTGCGGCAATGAAACTAGTCTAGTGGAATAGAGAAGGCTGAAGAGATTTAATAGAGGTTTTTACAATTATAATGGATCTTGATAAGCAAATAGAGAAAAACTTTTCCTTTGGATGAATGGTGATTTACAAATGGTAATTAATTTTTTTTTAATGACATTTGTTTTTCATTTATGCTTCAATTTCATACTTTACTATTTATTTATTTTCCTATGTATTTGTATCGCTCATCTTTTCACTCTTCCAAATAGCACATACAAGCTATGTATCAATGCAATTTCTTCATCTAGGGAAAAAAGTTCACTTTATGCTTTTTTCTGCAATTTCATTTTCAACCGATCATGCCAAAACCATAGCAACTGGTTATACTTAAGAGCTGTAAGTTCCTAGATGCAAGGTAGTTAGCTCAAAGAAAACTATATGGCTGTACTGTCATCTTTGTTTAAAAAAGTTAGCTCTCTCTTCAACTGCAGTAAATTATAATATTGTAGTACATGCTAACCCTATAAGAAAGTCTCCAACCTATGATGACAATGTAAAAACAACAATAAAATCATTAAAGATATCAATCAACACAACAATGCATGAATCTGTCACTAGATCTGTGCTTTGCAAGCTGAGGGTTTCTCTATACATCACATAGATAGCATGGCATCCTCGGGTAAGGCAAAGAGCAGTGGGATATGCCTCCTAATCAACACCTCCTGGTGCTCTTACGTGGTGACTCTGGTGAGCTACTGCGCCCCAGACCTAGAATATCTCACAGTGAAATGCTCCCTTACTACCTGCCGCATGCATGAGTTCACCTCCGCCACCCTGACAGCAGACTACATACTACCCCAGGTGAAAGTGAAGAATGCTCTGGGTGAAATTTACACAGCTACAAGTGCTCTGGAGACAAAATTCCCCAAGGCCTTATTCATCGTAGCTGGTGACTTCAACCAGGCCAACCTCAAGAAGGTGCTACCAAAATACCATCAACAGGTCTCCTGCCCCACCAGAGGACTGAACATCCTTGACCACTGCTACACAACCATCAAAGATGCCTACTACTCCATACACCGTCTGCACTTTGGAAAATTGCACCACAATGCTGTGTTATTCCTCCCAGCTTACAAGCAGAAGTTGAAACGGGAGGATCTTTCACAGGAAGTAGTACAATGCTGGTCTGAGGCAGCGGAAGGGCTTCTCTGGGACTGCTTGGAATCAATGGACTGGGCCATATTTAAAAATTCAGCGGACAACCTAGATGAGTTTCCACCACCTTCACAGACTTCATTAACAAGTGCATGGAGGACTGCATGCCATAGGAGTTAATCTGTGTGTTCCCCAATCAGAAACCTTGGATGAACCTGGAAATCCACTGCCTACTGAAGACCAGGTAAGCAGCATTCAAATCTGACGACGCAGACCTGTACAGAAAATCCAGATATGACCTCCGGAAAGCCATCAGAGAAGCCAAGAGTCAGTACCCGACCAAGCTAGAGGCCCAAACTAACCATATTGACACCCGCCACCTGTGCCAAGGCCTACATAACATAATGGAATACAAAATGAAGCAGAACTAAATTGCAGACAAGAACACATACTTCTCTGATGCGCTCAGTGCTTTCTTTGCTCAGTTCGAGCAGAATGCCAGTAGAGCGATGTCACCTGCCCAACAGTCCTGGATGCACTTGTTCCTTCTATCAAAGCTGCACATGTCAGATTGATCTTTCTGAGGATAAATCCGAGGAAAGTAATGGACCCAGATGGAGTCCCCAGCCGTGCACTCAGATCCTGTGCAGACCAGGAGGTATTCGCTGACATCTTCAACCTCTCCTTGCTACAATCTGAAGTTCCCACCTGCTTCAAGATGACCACCATCATCCCAGTCCCAAAGAAAACACATGTAACGTGCCTCAATGATTACCGCCCGGTAGCTGTGATTCTATATCATGCAGTGCTTTGAGAGGCTGGTCATGGCCCACATCAACTCTAGTTTCCCAGCCTGCCTTGATCCCCTGCAATTTGCTTACTGTGAAACAGATCCACACAGTGGACGCCATTTCCCTAGCCCTGCATTCAAGCGTGGAACGTTTAGATAACAAGGACACCTACGTCAGGCTCCTACTCATTGACTACAGCTCCACCTTCAACACCATTATCCCCTCCAGACTGATCTCAAAACTCCGCGACATGGGTCTCGGCTCTGCCCTCTGCAACTGGATCCTCAGCTTCCTGACAAACAGATTGCAATCAGGGAAGATATGCAACATCATCTCCTCCATGATAATCCTCAACACTGGCACCCAACAAGGATGCATTCTCAGACCCCTACTGTACTCACTTTACCCCACAACTGTGTAGCCAAATTCCAAATGAATGCCATCTGCAAGTCTGCTGATGACACCACCGTGGTAGGCCAGATATCAAACAATGATGAGTCAGAATACAGGAAGGAGATAAAGTGCTTGGTATCGTAGTGCCATGATAACAATCTCTCTCTCGATGTCGGAAAAACAAAAGAACTGATCATTGACTTCAGGAAGAAATGAGGAGGACATACCCCTATCTACATCAATGGAGCTGAGGTGGAGACAGTCAGGAGTGTCAAGTTCCTAGAAGTGATGATAACCAACAAACTGTCCTGGACCTCCCACAAAGATGCAACGGTTAAAAAGTCTCAACAATGCCTCTTCTTCCTCAGGCAGCTTAGGAAATTCAGCATGTCCATAAGGACCCTCACCAACTTTTACAGATGCAGCATAGAAAGTATTCTAACCAGGTGCATAACAGCTTGGTACAGCAACTGTTCTGACCAGGATTGTGAGAAACTACAGACAGTTTGTGTGCACAGCCCAAACCATCACGAAAGCCAACCTCCCATCCATGGACTCAATTTACACTTCTTGGTTGCTGCCGAAAGGCTGCCAACATCATCAAACACCCCTCACACCCTGGTAATGCTCTCTTCCAAACTTTTCAATCAGGTAGAAGATAAAGAAGCTTGAACACATGCGCCAACAGGTTCAAGAACATCTTCTTCCCTGCTGGTATTAAACTGATGAGTGGACCTCTCTAACTTCAAATAATGTTGATCTTGCTAATGTTAATTTGTCTTGTGCACCTCTTGTGCAGCCAAAACCTTGTGTGCTTCTCTCTGTCTAAGCATCCTGCAATCTGTATGTCCTTGTTTTCTATGATTTGCCTGTACTGCTCACAAAATAAAATTTTTTCACTGTAATTAGGTACATTGTGGCTACAATAAATCAAATCAAATCAAAAAATGTTCTGGGTCTCTTTCCACTCCGCTGACAGTACTTTCAACCAAGTAATACAGTGGAGCAGGAGCTGCTCTGAGAAATTTCCTGGCACATGGAT